ATTTAATGGCCTTTAACAAACCTGATCCAATGAAAGACCAGTAGTTACAACATTATCCCCTAAGTTTTGATTAAACATATTCACAACATGATTCCGACCATCCATCCAAGCACTTTCAATCCATTTATTTAGACTGTTCAGCCAATACATTTTTCTACAAATAGAATGTAAGTTGCCAATGAAGAACTTCATTATGTAAAGTTCAATAAAAACGGCAAAGATCGTTATATGGTTACCCTTCAGCAGGATCCAAGACAAGGAAATGCAGGCTTTCCACCTTTGGCTGTGAAGGAACTGCAGTCGATGACAGGACAATGGTACAAGGTTTATCATTATTCAAAGAACAAACTTCAATTCTCCCAACATTGGTCTGAGAAACAGGAACTTCGATGCCAAAATAGAGCTTCTCAGTAATCCAATCAACCGCAAGTGAAGTAACAGTTTCATCCAGTGCAGAAATCCGTCCCCGGCTGATGTATGATACAAAAGATTGAACTTTTTTGGTAGTTACCACTTGGACTTCATCTCTTAGCTTGTTAATTGCCGCTGAACCGCTCCAGTCATGAACAAACAAGGTGCTCTGGTGCGAAATAAACAGTAGTAAAAAAAACATAGCAGAAAACACTGAATATGGTGCTGCACACGAAGTTAAAATCAATCTAGTAATCCAAAAACTACTCAAAAAGGAATCAAATAAAACTTTTCAGGCACATTTTTCACCAGGCAAAAAAATTCACCTTATTGACAAAAATGGCGATAACAGCAGCAGGAGTTTTTTCCGGAACGGAAAGAAACGGGCGTGTAAATGCTACCCCTTTCGCTAATGTGTCAACAGTTACCTCGGCAATGTCCTCTCGCCGATGGACGACGAGAGGCACATGAACAGCGAGAGCAACTGGAATAATGGCAATACCGAAAACATTTTCAAACTATTCAATAAACATAATAATGATTTTGAAGAAATGAGGAGTTCATACAACAATACAAAAAAAGCCATTGACATCGCCTACCATTGGTTAGAACGAGAGCTGTTGTGACTCTTAGTAAAAAAGTTTCCATCTCATAAGTCGACGTTTGTTAGCCATTTTAAACCCTGAAAAAACTAAAATTGTGTTTTCTTTTATTAAACAAAGGCTTTCAAACTTTTCTAACATAAACACACGTGAAGAGTATGCACAAATTATAAGCAGACCTGCAGCTCCATCTCATAACCTTCCACGATTTTTAAAATCATCCAAAAACATTACACGACCAGCATTAGTACCACAATCCATTAATTAAAAACCTGAAATAATGTCTGCATTTAAAAATACACTGCAGAAAATCCATTCATACCTAACCAAACAATTGCTTTGCTGGTACAGTAATCAAAATGGTTATTTTTTAGACTTTGAGCATAATTTCTCTGAAAAAAAGCAACGTAATCAAAACCAATTCTTAATTACCTTCACTACCCCACCCATAACAAAAACTTCAAATAAAATTAAAGAGCCCTAACATATTCTTAATCCTCCGACATACATACTTATCTTCTAACCTATAGTAATACCTTGTCCTTAAAAAATAGAGCATAAAATAAAAGTTAAAAATTTGATAGTTTTATAGTGGAATACATTATAACAATTAATATTACTGATAACGTAAACTTTTCACACTCTTTTAACTTCCTCACCTTAAACGCCGCTAATGTCCAGCTCTAATAACAATTAGGCAAAAGTTAAGCAACAAAAAATCTTCGTATATAATATTTCAGTGGTGAAGTAAACTAATTATATGGAACTAGATAACGAAGTAAAAGTGGCATGGAACTGGCAAAGGCTGCTCAATCCAGAGTAATTTATCAGGAAACAAATTTACGAGGACTCAACGATGTACAGATATATATATATATA